AAAAAAAAAAACTGCGTTCTGAAAAATCAAAAACATTATCTGTAATAATAATCATCTAAGCAAGTAAGTAGCCTTAGTTTGTAAAAACTTATGTAAACTGCGACATATTCGGAAATAACCTTTTAGGCTTTCATTTGAAAACTTTGGTGCTGACGTCTTCTGCCGGGCAAGAGCAACGGAAGCTCTTCGGCTTGCAGGTACAGAGGGACCATCAGAACCGTCGGCAGCTTGTTCAAAATTTTCTATCAATGCTTGCTCCAGTCTCTTCTCGTGTTGAGGCCAAATAGCAGTCCATCTTTTCATAGCCCTAAAAATAAGATAGTGCCCAAACAGTTAGATAACGTAGACCAACAATCGCTAGATGTGAATTTCGTCACAAATTTAACAGTATTGAATGGGTGAATAACAAGGAAAATCTAGCTTACTGAAACCAGGATATTTATTGTTTGAAACCGATGAAAGTTTTTACAACTACGGCTTATAAAATATTCTTTGCTAACTGGGAATGAGAGGTAGATACTGATACAGGTGATTATTCACGCCGTCATTATATGTTACTTCAACTGCAGAGCACAGTTAAATCGTTTCAAACGATACATCCAAAAAATTACCAAACAGTTTTAAAAATTATCAATTACTTTCGTTGTTCCTCAATAGCGTAGTGAGACTTCCACAATGCAGCTATTAACTCAGTCGTAAAAACAACATCTGCGTGAACCGCAATCATATTGAGTACAAACAAGCCATCAGTACCCAAATATTTGTGAATAAATCGGTCAACGTTTTCCTGATTTTCTAAAAAAGCAAAAGAAGTGTGAGCAACACAAAATAGGCGAAGTTATTTTTTGATTAAAGACACTTTCAGTCGTTTCGTAACCGAGAAACAGGCTTAATACTGATAACCTACCGTCATCACGTTTGTCAAATGGGGTTTCACTCATTTCAAGGTGATTTAACAAAAAATGCTCCTTTGAACAGCTACCACATAAGAAATAAAGCCACTGTATAAAACTTATCACCGTAAATGCAGTCAGAATTGCATACCTTTAAAAAAATAGTCATTTAAAGACCTTCCATTAGTAATACTTAGATAAAAATAAGTTACAGACTAATGCCAAAAAGGAAAGCAACAGATAATCATTACTTAGATTTTATTCGAGTCTTTTGCAACAACAGCAAAACCAAGTTAACAAAAGAACACAATAAACTAACCATGTCCAGCATAAAATGAAAACCTTTTCTGTCAATACATTCACGACCAACACACACTGAACCGTATGATTTTGAACGTTTCCCATGTCACGAACCTAAAGCTGCTAGATTATTTCACTAACAATGCGCCAACATGCTTCCGCAAATTAGAAAAATCTCCTCAAAAAGGTTCAAAAGTTAACAGACCTCAAAATCGCAAAGTGTGGCCCGAGGAAAAATACCAGTTGTGTGCCAAGAAGACGAGTTACGAATATCTTCAAAAACAAGTTTCTTCCACGCGTACAGTCCAAAATCTCCTTTATATTCTGGCAAGAGATATCTACAAAATACTACCAGTTAATTCCCATTGTCTGCTTGATGCAACGTCAAAACCTTTCAAAACGGGCAAAAATTTAGACAAGAAACCTATATAAAACTTCAAGAATTCCTAACAAAAGAAACAGCAGAAATTATTCAGAAAATGAGAAAAGTCTGTTTACCTACTGAGAAGGAAGATTTGGAAACAAACGTTCGCCAGAAAGGCTAACTTAGCGACCATATAAACAGAAGCGACATAATAAGACGAATATTTGACGTTAAGGAAGCGTAAAATTTTGTGAGGCACAAGTTTCCTCTAAACACTGTCACAGCATGTCACAGAAGACAGTGGCGAAAGTATCAATCCTCAAAAAAGCGTCTTCGTGAAAAAGATGTCTACCTTCTTCAACCGCCTATGAAATCGTAATGCCCCCTGTAGATGTACAGAAAGTGCCTCGACGTTTGCCTTCCGATATTCGGGCGTAGAATTTGCAGAATCCGTAGCCATTCTTAGTATTTCACCAACCTTCATGCCTTCAAATGAATGTAAAGAATAAAGAATCATCTGTGGAACTTATACCGGTTACATACCTGAGTGACCAGCAAAATACTTCCATATCAAAGTTGGTGCCTTGAAACATGCAGCTTGAAAAAGTATGAAGAACGGCATCCACTGATAATAACTGATACGTCTTTCTCGCCTATCCTCGACGGAAACATCTTCAACGAACTGTTCTGGGGGAACAAAGTATGTATCCTGTGCCCAGCAGTAGTTCTCTGCATACTATACGAAGATGTTAGATAAAAGAGAAGTTGCTCTTGAAGAAAAATAAAATAGTCGAAAAAAATCAAAAAATTATAAAACCTGTATATTTCCATAATGTTAAAAGGTCTCAAAATGTACACTAACGAAACACTTGCTATTTAAATGTTTACACTTAAGTAGACTCTAATTTACCCTCAAAACACCAATTGATGAAGTCGACATGCTTAAATAACTCTCAGGCACCAGTTCACTAAATTTTTTAGCTGATAAAAACGACGCCCCTAGGAAAAAATGAATGTGATACAGAAAGAATTTTACTACACAATATGAAGCTGTTCCACAACAACCTTACATCTTCCCAAGCTCCATTAAATCCGACCGGTAACATACACTCCATCGGTCGTCCGCCGAAATGCTTGAAACTGATAATGATTGCAAAGGCAATCAACAAATTTGATGTGAAATAACTGTGAAGACTGGCAACAAGATCCTAAACTGTTGTTATGTTTTTACAAAAAACTGTAACACAGCAATTTCGCTCACAAAAAAAAAATCAGAATTTTCACTTAAATCAAGTAATATAACTGTTCTGCAGATTTTCCATATTTAAACAGTAAATGAAAAGAAGGAGAAACAGAGATGAACGGCAGAAAACGTTAAGATTTACTGACCTTAGCAACAGGTCTGTTGTTATAAGGAATCGAACTAACGACCTGCCAAACGATCGACATCTTTTACAAAGCGTTCAAAACGAAACCAGTAACTACTGTATCCAGCTCAGTAACCTTTGCCAGTGGCAATTGAATGTACCACCAAAAAAAAATCTAACAACTATTTTGGACGACGCCTCAATAGTAAACTCTTGAAATGTGTCAGATTACTGAGTTTGAAATTTAGAAACAAGTTCGGTATCTTTTTCGTTGCACTACCCAGTTCAAATCACAAATTTGTCTAACTAAAACCATGATGAAGCATAAATATACCTGAAATCTAAAACTAACTTAGCGTAACTATACAGATAAGGAAATACAACATTTCGGTCAACATAACAGTTCATATACCAGCCACTGACATAAAAACATAAAACGTCAGAAAAGTCAATGTAAACCAAAAAAAAAAAAAGACTGGATATTACGCCTACAAATCACTGCAGTATAACAAATTTGAGTGAAAAAAATATGCAGCAGATAAACTTAGTAAGGCTTTGTTCAAAACGGTGTTTGTTGAGCGCTGAACTACAGTCTCAACGAATGTTCGCAAACCCACAAGTGGTAGAAAATTTCTAATTGAACAGCACCAGTTTCCTATGCAAACGAACACTACAAATTTGTTTTACGAATTAAATTATTGCTCACACATCTTGGGCTAATAAAACACTGTATTCTGCATTTGTCATCAAGAATGCCCCACTTCTAACTTTAAGCTTAGCACTTTGAATGACACACAAATAAATAACTCAAAATTTCAAAAGAAAAAAAAAAACGGAAACCAACAGAGGGAAAGCAAATAACTGGTGACTAGTCAAACAGAACCACCTTAAGAAAAATTTTTATGAATAATAAGTTTACCTTAGAATAATGTATACTTGCACAGAACACTTCAACAGTACAGTATAATCAATATTTAATTTTTTCGGAGAGCAAAAAATAAAAAAATAAATAGATTGTGCATTAATGTTACACTAACAGCTATCAAAACTGACATGCTACATTAAAAATACACTAAATTTCATTAAAATTTCCAAACTATCAAAAATAATGCCGTTTAAATAGTGACCGAAAAAAAGAAAAAAGTAATAAAGTTTCAAAAAACAAAATAATATGTCTAACAAGATTTTTCAACAAGAAAATATATGCGTTTTCCAGAACAGATAATTATAATGAATTTCGGGGTAGCCAATAGACAAGCTGAGTTATATATATACAAATAGACAAATACAAATAGACATAGACGATTCCATCGTACGCTCACCAGTTGGCTCACTAAGCTCGGCTCCCCCGTTCAGATCAATAATCAACTGAGAGCAGCGTCAACGCGACGCCTGTAGAATATGGATCTAAACAACACATATCGAAATTAGTGGCAAACCACAGTGACGTATAAAACAAGCAGATGGATGTACGGTTCAGATATACTTTTTCTCTCAGTGATTATTTGTAATAGACCTACTAAGCAAAGAAATGAAAGAAAAAAATTTGGTTTTTCTTTCATACTTTTCTGTTGAATTTTTCTGTGCTATAAGAACAAACAAAATATGTAAAGAGTTACTCAACTGAACTGAAAAAAGAAAGAAAGGAAAAACATCTAGTCGCAACACTAGATCTCCGAATAACCACATTAACTTAAATGTTTCTTACCTCTTATTAATCAAAATTGAAACAAAAGTATATGAAACTGTTTCTTCAGACTTTATTGGCAGATCCTCCGTCCCTTTTCACTCTAAAAAAGAGCCAATGTGAGAGCAAAAGTGCGACGCTTATCTATATATAATACCCTGAAAAACCAAAACATTTCAGGAATGTCGCAGGCAACGTTACCGTTGAGGGACTTGATTTCATAAGTGACTTGTTTGATAAAAAATCAACAAGGCTCCAGAACCCTTTATTTGATACGTATATCAAACCTCGCCGTATTCGCAGTCTGTGTTTAAAACCAACGTAACTAATATGGTAATAACTGTGAAATAATATTGTTAATGGATACTCTACACCGGATTTTAACGAAAAATGGCTCACAATCAAGGAATTCGCTACGCTTTACAGAAAGCAGTTCTGACGAAACTGAACTCCAAAAATTAGCTTTTGGGATCTAGCTGGCAACTAGGTGTGAACTGCAACAGTAGATGTTTTGAGAAACTACACATAATCAGTTTTCACAAATAATAAGAATGAAATTTTGAGATGTGTTTATTTTAAAAGCATCCTTTCAAAGAAACCTTCCGTAAACAGCAAACCTCTTTGGTGCTAGGAGTGACAACAATCTAGTTCGGTTAAATTTAGTTTGCAACTTGACCCCAAAAAGGAGCTTCATTAGCATAACAGAAAGTGTCAGAAAAGATCGGCAGAGAAAGCGGATCAGTAAAAATTTTACACTCGTGAAATTTCGCACATTTCGGAGGCTATCGTAGACATACTGCTGAAATGTGTTTCCCTTTTTCTCGTCTGAATTCAACTTTAGTCAGCCGAGGCTTTGCAGACAATTCTCTTAAGCAAGCGAATCACTTTGATACAATTTCTGCCTGGTTCAGTAGCTAACAGTTGCTAAACAAGAACCTTTAAGATCTAAAACTTAAAGAAAAATTTGGTTTTGGAATTCCTCTGTCATTCATTATAACTTTTGATTGTTAATTGCATATGTTGGATGCACTTCTATTATCTTCTCCTGTCGGTGACAGTAATAGCAGCGAGTAAAATTTTGCAGATATAAGCTGAATTTTTTAATTGTGAACTTCTTCAAAAAAGATATCTTGGAAGTATCTCCTAGCACTTCCCAAGCTTTTGCAAGCATCCGTTATATAACGTTTACTTCCAAAATGCTTTCTTCGTCCCCGGCTCATGATGAAAACTTTGCACCTTCTCTTCTCTAAATTTATATATCGAGCGCTGCACTTTTAGTATTCTGTTGACCTGCAAGCAATTTGAACTTCTTTGTGAATCGAGCTTGATAAAGGATACTATAGCCAGTCTAGTAGCAGAGAGCTAAAAAAAGGATTTGATTAAAAGCATAGTTTAAAACAGTTTCAAAAAGTTTTTAGCTATTTGATAGCTGTCTAAAAACACACTTTGTCTAATTTTGCTTGAACTATCACTTTTTAACTGCAGTTTTTTTAAAAACGCAAGAAGGTTACTTTGCAAGTACCAGCTTACAGATGCACTTCTTCGCAGTGTAAAACATAAAGATGAATAAGTAAGACAATGCTGTAGAAGAGAAAACTCGTGCAGTAAAATTTTTCAAAAAATTAACTTACTTTCAGAAACTATACCTCATCCACTCTAATCCTATCAAAACAAAAAAATTTTCAAAATTAATTTACTAAACAACCTTTTAACCATAACTTTATTTTGAAAAAACCCGAAATTACTATAATTGCCTAAAAATTTTTGAATTAATTATGACATAAAATTGAACAAATTTAAGTTTTTTAGATTCGCTTCAGGTTTTTGAAAAACCTAATGTTTTACATTTCTCGCACAGTAACAATTAAAGCCAAAAATCATTAAACATTTTAGTAAGCTTCTTCAGTCTGACAAGTAAAAAATTTTTGGATGTTTATGTATATGTCTTTAGTTTAATTTTGCGAAGATGTTTCAAAATTTACAGTTTACATGACGGTAAACTGTAGAAGAACAAAATGATCTTTCTTAGCAGTTATTCGTAATTAGCTGCTTTTTCAAACATAAGGCGTTCTATATTTTAAACAATTTTTTGTCAACTTCTGTTTTAATAAAAAATTGAGTTGGCAGAGAGTAAACTTTTTTGTCGAGCGTTCTTTATCCGGATAAATACTTTTGTCGTGGAGCAGAAAATGCAGCTGAGGAGGTGTGATTTGAGACAGTTTTAACCGTATTTTCTTTTTTATAAAAGTGTCTTGAGTCAAAAAAAAAGGTTGCTTTGTTTAGATGTTCTTTCACTTTTTTCTTTCAATTTTAAAGTTTAACTGTAAAGAAGCACAAAAAATAATGTACAGAAGATTTATTACTAAAAAAAGCTCTTTATCGACAACGTAGCACTGCTGCGAGGAACATACAAAGGAACATTGAGGTTATAGGAGTGCATCTAAGCAACACAGGACTGTATCTCTTTGATCCAAAGTATAACAAATGAAATTTTTACCTCATTAGCTTTTTTATATGGCCTTTTGCAGAGCCAACTAAGCCTTTTCTGTAGCAAACCAAAACAACTTCAAGTGATATAGGTAATTAAATTGAGATGTGTACTGAAAAAGTTTCTATTTCAATGCTTTTTTTTTAAAAAGAATATTTGAACTTTTAGAATTTTAAAACTAAAAATCACTTCAAACATCAGCGAATAAAAGTGTAAAATTTCCAAAAATATATATTTTCTATAATTTATGTAACCATTATTTTTTTAAGGTAATTGGGTCTAAACACGGCTCCACTAGATTTGCTTATCAGTTCGTTGTGATTTGCGCTTGTCATCTTTATCAAGTGCTTTTCTTACTATGAAACAGCTTAGCAAGACTAATCAAAAAAACTTGTTCTTTATACTTTTATACTGAAACTATGAACTGTTTCATTCAATTCGTTTTTTGATTTCAAAAAGCTACAAGATACCAAAGCTTATTTACATTTTTATGTGTCACACGAACGTTATTACATGTATGCAATTCGAAGCATTTCCAGTATTTTGTCATTAGTAAACCAATTTTTTTTACTAGTTTTTGATTTTTCAAAACAAATTAATTTATAACAGTTAACTAGAAACATAGTTTGATTAAAGCTTTTTGATAAAAAATGACTTTTTTTATTCTCCTCGTTCTTTTCGTAGTATATCCTTCAGCAGTTGTTTCGTTTTTGAAGTGTTGTAAACATTTTTAAAAGTTGTTCTTGTGCTCACAAAAAAAGTAATTTTTAATTCTTTTCAAAGATCTATAAAGTTCTCAACCTAAAAAAAATTTTTGAAATTATTCGGCTTTACCAATTTTTGTTAATTGTAATACTTATGATAACATTGAAAAGAATTAACGATATATGTTGCAGAAAAGCATTATTTATGTTTGAAAAAAGGTTATCACATGTTCAAGAAAAAAATTCAGTAATAATGAAAAAGTCAAAGTGGTGTTTTGTTTGCGCTAAATAAGCGCTTGAATCGACTTTGTTGTTTAAAGTGTAGAATTAAAATAAGACAGAAAGTAACAACTAAAGTGTCCACAGAAATGTTTATTGCAAAACTATCAAACACTCGTTTTACAGCAAAATTTAAGAGAACTCAATTTAAATAATTATAATAACAATGATCATAGAAGTTATTGCTATTGATTTTAAGCACAATTGTATTACAAGCAAGTAAAGGTTAAGATAATTCAGAGAACCTTTTTAATCGAATGAAATTTATTCACAAAATTTTCACAAAAAGTAAGAAGGTACGATTTCTTCGCTTGTGAAAATGATGTCGTTTCTCCACATTCCAAATTTTTGAGTCTTTATATTGTTCTGTGCTTCACATTGATTTTGGTGACACTAACAAATTGTAATAATTAATTTATTATTTCTATTGCATTAAATATGCTGCTGAAACATGTGGTTCTAACTGATGAGCTGTGGTTTAAGTGACAATTATCCAAACCCTACGTAAAGACTGATTTTTGCAGAAATTGTTAACAGGAGATTGGAACAACCAGTTATTACCAATGACGCTGTCGATGTAACTAACGATTCATTAAATTTGCAAATAATTTTACCAATAAAGTTCTGAAACAAGAAATTTTTTTCTCTTTTTTTTTTTTTTTTTGCTGATAACAGCTGCCTAAGCTCTAAATTTAGCAATAATTTTAGTTTATCCTATGTTAAGTTGACGATGCTTTAAATGTGTGAAGAAAGAGAAAATTTTGATAGCAAAAAAGTATAATTTTGTTTATGATGATTGTAAACCTGTCAACAACTCCTGATGCTAATTTTCATCGTTAATACTATTTCTGACACATTTTAAAAAACATAAACGGAACAGTCTACGTAATTCGCAATAAGTTTTAATTCCGTTCTATGTTGTATACGGTACTGCAAAGAATTTGGCTGTGGTAATAATATATGCTACAAATCAGAATGTATAATTGTTTTTAAATGTAAGCCTCAACATATTCTCTTTTGTAATGAGATTTGAAAAACTGAGTCGAATATTAACAACTAACACATTTTCAAATTTTTATTGACGTTACATAATTCAAAACTGTTTCTCTTCTAATTTATTGAAATGCAGTGGTTGACTGTAGAATTGCATAGTCTGGTTCAAAAAAGTAATTTTTAAAACAATGCTAAATTAGAAAAAATGAAATTTAGGAATATTCAATCAATATAATGTTAACAATTTCAATTGACAAAGTGTTTTACTGACCCTCCGTAAACTAAAATCTCAGAGAGAATGTAATTTCCTTTGTCTTCTTTTCTGGTTCTGACAACCCAAAGCTCCAAACCGGCCTTATAATGCGCATAAGTCGATTGGGAGTGAAAATAATGCAACTGTGAAGAAAGTAATACAGAAAAGTGCAAATAAAAGTTAGGGCATAAATGAGTGTAATATAAGTAAGTTGAAAGAATTAAAGTTTGCAATTATGATAATTTTGTACAACTATCGATGGTTTAATAGAGGGCTAAACCAATATTCATCGCAAAAATAGCCTCCCACTTAATTTGTGCTGGGATGATTCTGCTGTGATACCTTTGAATTCTGCGAGCGTCGATTGCCTTATCCAAAATTGTTGCAGAGGCTTTATCTTTTCTTTCTGGAACAAACATAGTCACTGCTTCTCCCGATATTTTTGGCAACAATTCACGTAGTAAACCTCTGCAAAAAAATTCTCATTAGACGTAATTTGTAATACTTAGACTGTAAAGGTTGCTTAAAAACAACCAAAATTATAGCTGCATTTTATTGTCTTTATATTTGCTCTACTTAAAGAGAGCTTATTTTTTTGTATTATTCAACAAATCTTATTCTTTACAGCACAGTTTCTTCAACTAAATAAGATAAAGGAATTAATCAGTTGTCAGATTACTTAACTTTTTATGCTGCACTCAAACATAAAGCTGCATATATGTAAAAGAAGAAGAAACTTTATCTGACTTTTTTTTTTGAAAATATTTCTACTTTTACTGCTTTATAGCCAACTTACCTGGCGATAGATTCAGTTTCCGCATAGCATTGCAAGACGCGGTTGTTCAACCCAAGTGCATAACCAACTGGCTGTCCAGCTTCGCATGCGACGACACCGTTTAGCTGTAGCAGATTATTTATTTTTTTTCTCATAATTGAAAAAATTGGTTGTTTCACAATCTTTAAATATTATGTTACATCTATTACGAATAGTAACTTGAAAAGATTTTCAAAATTTCCACTAAACACTTTGCCAAGATCAAAAAATGAAATGTTATAACACCTCTTTAATACTGAGCAAAAATTCCAGATAAATATCACGGTTGTACAGCGAAATTGTCGAATCGTAATCCAATATGTATTCCTTATTTGCTTCTGTCATTTCTTCGTAACTTAAATAAATGTTTTGTTCTGTTTCTTCGTCCATTATATTTTGCAGCACAGATCTGAAACCATAATAAGTATACTTTGTCACTGATAGTGAGCCCCTCAACTTGATTAAAGAACATTCTGAAAATTGTCTTATTTGTGCACTAAAAATTCCTAAAGTAATAGATAGTGCAACTCGGTAAATAAAAATTTATTAGCACATTTTTGGTCACTTTTGAAGAACTTTTTTAAATTTTTCTCTTTTCTAAATTAAAAGTCGTCTTTTTGGAGTGACTTTAAACAATAAGAGATAGGAACGTCACAATGATTAATACAGGAAAAAAATTCATACTTGTTCGCTGTAACTTCGTAAATATTGCAATCATTTGAAACTAAAAATCCAAGTCTATCGCGCATTTCGACTTTCTTATCTTCGTTGCTAAAAAATTTCACTTAATTAGAGAGCAGTAAGCTGTAAATAGAGAAAATTGACCTAGTTTCATTAGACCATTAGTCTTTTTCGTCATTTGTGTTCTTAAAAAAAATTAAACATAGGAGTTTGGTATCGAAAAAACCTCCATGATATTGACTGTGCAAGAATTGATAAGATGACATTTTCTAACAAAGAAATTTTAAAAAAATTGTTTAATTCTCACATAAAATTCCTTCCTATTTTTTTCTGTTACAGATTTGTTTTACTTTCAAAAGTGACTTCATTTAATAATTGAAACCCAAATACAGTTATAATGCTGCTCAAAGTTGTTACTCTAGAATTATTTATAACAAAACTAGTAGGGAAAACGAATTAGGAAGCAGCCAGAGTTTACGGAAAGCAAAAAAGAAACTCTGTAGCCGATCCATGTCATCAAAACTGTAGTTTGTAGTCTTTTTGAGAATATATAGTAGCCGCATTGCTGTGCGGATGTTCAATATTGAATAAAACAGTTAACATGTTACTCACAACAACTCGAAGTTATACAAATCTACAGTAATATTTTTGGTAACATCCATATTGTAAATTGTAAATGTCATTTCGATTAATTGATCATAAGCATGAACTAGAGCCGGTTGGTTAATACGATCGCCAAAAGCTCCATAGTATTGAGGAAGGTATTCCGCCTGTATCTCCGGATCAGCTATTTCGACAACCTGAACAAAAAATTTTTCTTAAATTTCTAAACTACTTGTGCATCTAATTAGGATTAAACAGTGTGGAAAAGTTTTGATCTTTAATCTTTCTCAGGTAGTAATCTTACTTGCTGTAACGATCAATAGGAAATAAAATATTACTTACTTTCAAGCAACAATGTCTCTTAGTTTTTGAAAAATCGTTCTCATCACAGTGAACTTTTTCCACCACTACATTTTTATTTGTATACTTTGATTCGCATTCGTGAAGTATAAAGTATGCCTAAATTTTTTTGATGTTTATCTGAGGTGAAATTTCGCTGTATTTCTTTCTTTTTTCAAATTCTTTTTCATCTAACGACCTTAACTCGCTTATTACTAAAGAAGTCAAACTGAGATTTGCTGGAAAGAAATAGATACACTTTATTTTTGAAAACTGCATTTTATGACTAAAACCATAAACTTTATTTTCTCAGTCAAAATACTACTTTTGCCAGAAAAACTCTGTAAATTACCTCTATTAAAAGCAATAAATCAAAGTTATGGTATTCTTTGTTGAAAATTCAGTTTTCAACTTTAAGAAGAAAAATGAGGAAAAAGAATACCATTTAAACAATAAAAAAAGTGTATTTAAGCAAAACTTCTTTTAAAAACAGTGATTAAAATCAAGATTAATGACAAAAACAGAACAAAAATGAAAAATATTACTGTAGAGCAAAGTTGTACACTCAACAGTAAACACAGTGCACTAAAGTTTGTTTATATAGTTTCACTGTTCTTGGTTGAGATGGCAAACAGTCGATAAGTCTTGTTTCTCAAACTTCAGCTTGAAGTTATTCACATTTTTTTCAAAAATTACGCTTTTTAACGGGCAATTATAACTGCTGGAAAAATTATTTTCAGTTAACTCATCAATGATAAACATCGATGCAAAATTTTAAACTTACTTATCTATCTCCTACTAATGCATATTTCAAATGCTTCACTGATTTGGAATTGTCATTTACAGTTTTAGAAAACTGTTTACGGAATGAAATATTTGAGCGTTTGTGCAATTTTTGGTCAAATTGACATTATTTTCCAAGTTCAATTAGACCTTTGACAAAAAAACAAAAAATTACACAGAATTTGAACTGTCAGAGCCCTTAACCAGCACATACCTCTATAACATTTTCTTGTTTTGGCGCTGATAAAGATCACCC